TTCTATGATTCTATGAGTCTATGATTATCAAGCATGAAGAACTCTGCTTAGATCAGAGGTATTCAAGCCCAAACCAAATGCAGAGACATTTCTGTCACCATCCACTTGCTCTCCACATGTACGTTGTCTCTGTACCTAAGAGGAATACTCTCTTATGTGGGACTGCCTGCCACCCTAATTTCTTCTCATACATACACCACTATGAATCATAAAAATAGGAATTCAGAGTAGGGCAGGTACCGAAATGCAAAATACCAGCATGCTGGAAAAAAAAAAAAAATCAGTAATTGAGTTGGCAAAGAAATTCCCCTTCCTGTGCCAGCACTTTCTTAAATGCTTGTCTCGGTGCACTCTCACTGTGCAGGAATCTTCAAAAATACAAATCAAAACAATCTGGAAATTCATCTCTAGAAGTTTAGATTTAACCCTTTCATTTGTAAAGGGGACAAAGGCACTGTCCAGTTAATGCTGGCAGCACCAAGAAGAAATAAAATGGATGACACTTGTGAAGGCGAAGGCAGTTAAACACTAAAGCAAACGTATGCTAAAGCAAGCAAAAATGGTTGTGAATTACCTTCTACTAACAGACATTCATCCAAAGACTATGCTGTGATATGTAAGGGGAAAGATATGACTCTCCCTATGATCTGGCCAGGGTTATGTGTAGGTCATCTGAAGAAGTTGTGGGAACTGAAACAACTGTGGCCACATGGGAGCTTTGGTATGAAAATTGACTTATCTTACTTGATCTTTAGCAGGATTCTTGGTAGCAACAGTATGGGTGGAGAAAAAATGTGCATCACTTCACTGAAGACTCATAAAGGCATCCTCTAGTAAAAACTCTGAATCAGTTTCTCCTTGCAGCAAAACCTGCAGTTTTTTTCTAGTTCTTGATTTGTTACAGACAAATGACTCCAGGACATAACGAAGATCAAATCAGTTTGTTCTCCAAGGAAATGTGGCCAAGTGGAGGGAAGCCTCACGATGAGTTATATAATTCAGTGTTTGATAAAAAGTCTCCCTTTAACATGCTTTTCAGAATCTGTATATGTTGGCAATTTAGTAACAAATAAGGAAAATCAGAATAAACTGGAAGAACAAGCATTTTCTCCAGTTAAGACTGAAGACAAAGGGTCAAATTGCATGAGACTAGTTAGATTCTACAGGGAGACCAATAAAAACTTTGATATCCTTGGTAAAACCAATCAGAAGTAGATTAAATGTTGAGGACAAGCACTTACAGGCTTTACTGATGCATTGTACACAAATGAAGACAGATACTCAAGTCCTTCCCCAAACTGGGTGTTATTGACATAATTACATCCTTCTGTTTTTAAGTTGGTATCCTTAGTGCAGGCAAATGTAATTAAATTCACGGCATACCAGTATATTAATCCACAAAAGAATGTGCATTCTATTTTTGCATAAAAAGAATGTGTTGTAGTTATGTATAAATACAAATGATGACTTGCCTCATGTGCCCTCTGTTGTTCTAAAAGGCTCTGGTAGTTTCCGGAAATCTCTGCTGCCAGTTTCTGCTCAGTCTGAACTAATAAATCCATCCAAGTCTCACATTTCTCCAAGAAGGTCTGCTGCTGCAGCAAGAAAGACTGCAGCTTACTGAAAGAAAGATAGATTCAGGTAAGGTCTCCTCCTCTTGCACACAGTGTTAAGAGTCTTGCAGTAACTGTTACAGCAAATTTCCAAGTCAGATGGTAATACTTTCCCACTTAGCTGCCTCATTCAATTTATTTAGTCAACATGCTGGAAAAGTAGCAGTCCTCTTCATTTCAAATTCTCTTAATTTGTGGCAAAACTGACATGCCAGCTCACCAGTTTACTTTTACTTACTCTTTACTTACAAGCACACCAAAGAAAAGGAGTTTTGGTTAATAAACATTTTCCATGTTCTGCAAAAGGTATATTTTCTAGCTGTTGTAATCTAAGAAAAATACAGAACAATTTTCAGCTATCCTCACCTGAATCTTTCCATAGTCTGAGATGAGATCAGAGACCAATGTCGGTTCAGGTTCTGCATCCTTTTGATTTCTTTATCATTCAGAGGAAGCCTGTAACCCAGTTCATTAAGACGGTCCAAATCTGGGGCCATGCTGCTGAACTTCAACATCTGACTCTGCAACAAATAATAAAAGTTCTACTAAGTAGTTCTACTTACTAGGAAGTTCAGTATTTACATTTATAGGCTGAAACATTATGAACTAGCATTCAGATGAATTAGAACAGCCTTGGTTGCCACCAAGTGGCAAGCAATTCCTATGCCAGGGAAAAATTGCATTCCTAGTTCTCAGCCTCTAGTCCCAGAGCAGGAGAAGACTTATGTTCATGTTTAAATGTTCACAGAGAAGCAAACTCAAACTGCAGTGAATTGTTTTGCTGAACTGGGGATTTACCACTCAGACCTGCAAACGTAGACTAGTGTTTGAAGCCATATGTTTATATTGTCAAAAAGGTGAGCCTCTTTTCCTTGTTTCTTATCCTGAGTGCTAGTTTGGCAAGTTCCTATTGAACTTGTTCAACTTTTTTTTTGTTGTTGTTGTTGATTTTTGTTTGTTTGTTTTTGTTTGTTTGTTTGCTTTGCAGTGTAGAAATATCCAATTCATTATGTTAGCATGTTGAGAGTGGAATTATGTGTATAGTTAATCCTGATAGGAAAAAAATTTAAAGATTAAAAGGATAAAAACAGCCTAGATGTCAAAGTTCGTCACCTTCCTGGCAGGATATCTGAAAGAATAGAGGAGAAAAACAAAAACAAACCCACAAAAATAGTGAAAGAGTTCAAAGGAAGATCACATGATATGCTTCTTCACATTAAAACCCATGAATGCTTCTTTATTATACCAAGATACCCTAAATGAATAGACGACATTATCTCTAAACTAAATGGCACTGATACAGGAATTACATAAATTCAAAAAAAGGTGAGGGAAAACAAGATGAAAGAAATCTCCATAACCTAATAAAATTTACATTCACTATTTGATTTTACATAATTTTATTTTAAAGAGTTTTCCTGTCCTATTCTTCTTTACTCAAGGGCAAAGTAATATGGACAATCATTCTGTGACTGCCAACAAACATCTAAGTTCATCTTACACATTGCATGAGTGACAGTCCTTTAATAAGTATAAAATACGCATATGGCATTTGTGCATACCCTGTACTACAAATAACCAGGCTAACAGAAAAAATTCTGCATTTATTAGGCACCTTGAGTTCCTCCATTCTGCTCTGTATTGCTGAGAGATGGCATGAGTGACCAGGATCCTGTCCTTTCAATATTTCTTCTGCTTCTGTTAACCAGGCCTCAAGGACTTGCAGGTTCTTTGCAAAAGTTTGGTAATCCAGCACGCCAGCCTTGAATAGAAAGGACCCACAGTATAAGAACATTGGCCACCTAGCATCCATGTTTACATTAGATCCCTGGTTATTGTCATTATAGATTTACAAACAGCTGTGTAGGCTAGAAGCAATTGTAACTGCTGCTTTGCACACAGACTGTGGAATTATTGGTGGCTTTTTTTAGGTTAGAGCAAAGGATTTTTGATCATACATAAAGGCAACACTTCAACAAAGGGCATAAGTATCTCCTTGCCTTGAAATAGATAAATGTCTCTAATTTTATGTAACTAACTTCTAATTTATTGCCAATAGAGAAAACCACGTTATTATTGCAATTTAAAATTAAAAATTCCTCTTATGTTTTGCCTCCTCAAAGCACAGTGATGATACAAGCATATGCTAGATGATTCTGGGTAAATGCTCTTGTCACCCAAACAGAAGCCACTAACTTTGTTGCCTTCTCATCCATGTAGTTTCCTATGGAACACATTCTACCACTCTTTTTTTTTGCTCTTTAGTCCCTGGTGACACAAGCAATTAGCAACATCTACTGAACAGGTTTTGACACAAATGGAAGGTGTCATTCTGATCACTAACATTATTAGGAACTATAGAAATCAATTCTACACAATTATTCAGAATCTCTCATGTGTTTTGCTGCTAAAGAGCTAGCTGGGAAAAGAGGCTGCCTTTAGAGGAGCAGTAGCTGTGGATCCAGCTTTTAGCACTATTGTTGTCCACAGAAAGCATGGTACCCTTGACATTTCAGATAGACACTTTCCTCCATGAGGTTTGCTATCTTCTTCCCATAATTTGGATCTTCTTACAAGGTCTCTATGCTGGACTTGAGCATATTTTCTACTCTTAGTTTTGGCTTCCAGGGAAATCTAGGAAATGCTGATGAACAAGTAACACCATCCTCTTTTCCCAGGCAGTTTTACCTAATCTACCTGTTTTCAGGCATCACAGATTCAAGGACTGAAAACTCTCTGCATACCTGAAGTACCGCCTGTTGCTTGCGGAGAGCCTGTTCTAGAGCTGATAGGTTCTGTTTCAGAGAAAGATGATCAGACTGTATAGCTGCTGCTGCTGAAGCCTCCACCTGGCTTTTCAGCTCCTCTCCCAGTTCTTGAAGAACGACCAGTGACTCCTGTGCTGTCTTCAAACCTGCAAGCACATCCTGTGGCAACACATTGAATAAAGATATGCATAGTTAACCTGACACCCTGCTGATGTCATCCTCATCTGATTCAAAGGCAGAATGAAATGGCTGAATTACAGGAAAAAATTAGATTTATTACTGCATTTCAATGCCACTCACACTGTGTGAAAAGGAAATGATGGGCAGAATAAAAAAAATATGTCAAAGTACCCATGCACAGATGAACAGAAAGAAGTAACTGCTCAGCTACCTTTGAGCAAGCCTTAGGTGCTGATGAGGCAATACTTGTTAAATCTTTTGAATCTACTACATGCTGGTCCTAACAAGTGGCAGCCCTCACTGTGGGTCGATTCAGGTCTGACTGGACCTCCTTTTTTCCCCGCTATAAGTTATCAGGAAGGATAAAAAAATAACTTTGGTAAATGACCTAACATGATGGCTAAAGAATGGCACATCAGGAAATGAAAAAAATTATTCAAACTGAACAATTTGAATTGCCAGTCCAAATGACTATGGCAATTTTGAGCAAATGCTCAAAAAGCCCATTAATGTGTTTATTTTTCTCCTTGCAATTGTTTTGATTACACTAAGAAAATCAACATCTTAATATAAAAATAACATAAATAATATGTATAATAAATAACATTATATAATAATATGTATAAATATTATAAATAACGAACTTAACTAAAATTTAACCACAGAGAGAAGATAAACTATCCTGCTGCCTTGAGATACAGTCTTGAAAAAGGAAGAAAACCTCAAGATTTCAGAGTGAATGGTGCCCTTCCATAAGGAAAGGTTAAAGAAATCCCCAGAACATACACAATCTCTTTTCATTTAGAAAAAGGGAGCAGCTCTGATCAGTGGGAATATAGTCAAATGATCTTGTGTTTCTTCCTATTATATGGAACTCAATGGATTTGGAAATGGTATTTCCCAAGCAAGAAACCCTATGCTTAAGACTTAAGACTGAATCAAATTATATAATTTATCCACCTTCTCCAGAAAGACTTCAGATACAAGCTTCTGAACCAACAGCACAACAAGTAATGGAGACATCACATGAAAAGTATGAGAAACTCCTCAGTTTTAAGTAGGAGATGTAAAGCTGTCTTTCCTATGCTTGAGATGCATCAGTTAGAAGAAATGTGTTTGAATGTAAGTTTTCGATACACCAAGTACAGAAATAAGTAATGGAGAGCCTCTTGTGATTTTTATCCTACAGAGCTGTAAAAACTGCAAAGTTTATCTGAACGTACATTGCAGTCTTGAATCCAAGTAGTAACTTCATCATCAGCAATGTCTTTGCTGGTGGCAGCCTTCAGGAGTTCGTTGGTCTGGTCTTCCCGCTGACGGATTGTGGAAGAGCACTGCTGGTAACAGTCCTTGTACCTCTGCCACAGCTGAAGGAGGCCCTTACTGGCACGCAGCCGCTCTGCAATCTCCTGCAGAAGGTTGCTCCACCTGGTGAAGAGATTGGATGAATGATCAAAGCCTGGGAGTCCACAAGAACTCTCCCCAACCCTCTTCTCTGCTGCTTCCTATGGTCTTTCCGCTTTTAAGAAATTTTGTAACAATCAAGATGCAGGCCATTTGGGGCAGGGGGAAAGAAAGGAATCCAAGAAATATGTTGACAGGTTGTTCTGATGTGTTACAGCAGGACTGATCTGTGCTACAACTTCGATGTTGTATGCTAGTGCTGGAGTGCACTTTTTGAAGTTAACCTGCTGCTATTTCCTCTTAGCATACTTTGGTTCGCTGCACAGAGCATCCATGACCAACCATGAACTGCCAGTACCAGATTCCTGCAAAGGCCTAAAAGGTCCAAAATATGTCCAAACAAACCCCCATTTCTTCTGCTGCAAAACCTTGACAGTGATGTGCAAACGCTTTGCTGGAGAAAATGCTGTTTCATTTATTAGTAGCAGTAAATGAGACAGTTCTGCTCCAGCTCCTGTCAAAAGGAATAACCCCACCTGCCCCCACAAACCCCTAAAGCCCCTAAACCCATAAAATAATTAAATAAAACAGAAGCAGAAATGATAGAAAACTGTTAAATGCAAATTCAGCATTCAGTTCAGTATGGTTTAACACAGACATTTTCTACCTCATATTAATTTCTTTCAAATTGTTGGTAAGTGTTTCAGTCACTGGTGGATGACATTCTTTCAACAACTGATCGGTCACAGAACCAAATTTCTGTAAGCTACTTTCTTGTTTTTCCAATTCATCTTGTAGGCTCTAAAACAGATAGAATAATTGAAAAAAATGAGATACATGAGGCATTACGACTGCATTATTTAGAATTTTATAAACATTTCAAAATAGTATGTATCAATTACATCATAAAGATTATGAATGCAAAACTTCAAGTTTGTTTCATCTAAATAGAAGGTTGTTTAATATGAAGAATATTGTTAGATGTATTTGATTTAATATCAAGATGTAACAAAAAGCAAATTTTAACTTAATATGTTCACAAAATGTAAAAATCTTACAAAAGAAATGATTCTAAACAAGTACTCTTGCACAGAAGAAGTAAATGCATGGAACTGCTTCAGAAATATGAACTCAACAGATGGAAGAAAATAAATTAAATAACATTTTTGTGTTTAGAATGAGATGAAAAATTAACAGAAAAAAATCCACTTTATTCTGAAAATAAGGTCCTTGCTCTTTCACTTATGAGTCTGAAGTACTGCTGTCAGGCAACATGCTCCTTTATATTTTTATGCATATTATTATAGTTTCAACAGCCCAGTAAATCTTAACCTGATTAAACAGTATAGTCAAAATCTTAATAAGAAAAAAGGTCATTTTCTGTACCTATTGTTTTACTGACTCCTCCTCTCAGATACATAAAAAATGAAAACCTAGAAGAGCAGTTGTAAGTTGATGCTCTTTAAATCCTGGTTTGAAAAGTGTTGTTCATCCTTAGGGAATTCGGCTTTATATATGTCTGGACTTCAAATCACACAAAATATTTAAATAATGTAAACATAAATTTGCTGGCAAATACAGATAACACAATTTATTGTTGCTTTAAGCATCTGGAAATGTTTGCATAATTATTTTTGACTCTAAAGACAACAACTTTTTTTTTTAAAATAACAGGTTATTTTACTTAATATAATGAAAACTTTAATATTTTTAAATTATTTGAATTTCTCTCAATTAATATTAATTTAGAATTCTGTAACAGGAATCTCATTGTATTTTGTGCTTTTCTTACAGTGGAAAATCACTTGAAGGTGCATTTCAGCTTTTTAGAACATTGTTTTCTTTTATCTTCAATCTACAACAACAGGGTTGGGAGCGGTGTGAGTGTGTGTATTAAAATATGATCTCTGCAAGCACCAGTAGGTCCAAGGCCCGAAGAAGCAGACTTAGAAACTTTAGTTTTAATGGTCAATAGCACAATTTAAAAACTTTAAATGATTTGGCAATACAGCTCAAAATTTAAAGAAAACATCAAAAATAGAACAACTATCACCATTTTACTTTTATGCAAAATGGAATGGCTATTTGATAATGTGTTCTCCTCATGACATGTGACTGTAATGTGCCACTATGTTTGTACTTCAATTTCTTAACAAAATGTAGTTTTCTGCATTCATGTATCAGGGACAAAAATTAATCTTTGAATCTATCCTTAGTATGTCAAAAGGCACGGTATTCTTTTCACCTGAAGGTTATCAACTTGCACTTTCACAGCTTCCAGAGAACCAGTAAGAAGATAAAAACGGGACAAAGAATATCTGGCTTCTGTCAGGTAACTATTCAATTCTTCATAAGCCACTTTGTAAATGCTCCACTGATCAAGAACAGATTGCAACAATATCTTCAGCTGGCTAACCTAGGAGAGAGAAAATGAACAAACAAACAAAAAACCCCCCACACACAACTAAATGAAAAGCATTCAATATTTGGATTTTGTTTATATTATGTCCTTCATTTTGATCTCAGATACTAGTTGTTCCAAATGCCTAATGTTAAACCTGTTGGAGAACAAAGATTTTGCACATCCATCAGCTTCGCTTACACTGGGTACAGCATATAGTTCTGCTTGTTTTATAAAGCTAGGATGGCAGGGACTGAGAAGATATCAAGTGCATTCTATCTTGGTCCAAAGCAGGATCAAGAGAAATTCTTTAAGACTATGAAACACGTTTCCCTAAGGCAGGCAAGTCAGCCTATGAAAGTCAGCAGAGAGTCCAGCACTAACACACCACATTCCTCCTGAGATGGTGGACTGATGTTGCCCAAGCTTTGGATGATGGCAATAAATACTGATCTCTTCCGTATTCTGTGACACCTATGTGCTTGAAAAGGTAGATCCTTACAGATCATTTGGCACCTTTCCACTAAGTATCAGGAAGCATCTAAAAAGCTTCAATTAGAAGAATTAAAAGCATCCTTTAAATAGGAAATATTATATCAATTTTGTGTGGTGTGTACACACAAACTTGGGGGTGGATGGAAACAAGGACATAGTTCAGATCTCTTCTTATACAATGCAGAAGAAATCCACTCTCTGCAAACTGCTAATTCTCCCTTCTCCTTCATGCCCTATTCCTGGAGCTATAATTTTCCACCAGATGATTCTTTTACCATGTGATCCAAATTGGCCCAGGAATGGTTAATTTCTTGCAATGTACTCATAACAGCAGAAGAGACTTCTTCGCTCTTGTTCTTTATCAAAGAAAGACCACTTTGTTCTACATTTTCTACTTCTTTTTCCTTTGTTCTTATAGATTCTTCTAATTCCTGAAAGGAAAAGGAAAACACCTGAGTATTTTTTGTCTGATTAATTGGTTAGATAATGCCTTGAGATAGAATAGATGCACAAAAGCTCCTTAGTTTAAAAAATAGAAAAGTCATGCTTTCTTTCTTTGGCTTATTATTCTCAAGAGAATCATAACTCAACAGAAATTTTCTTTAACATTTTATGTTCCCTTTAAAGCATAGCTCTTTGTCTTTAATTTAAATAGAAGCTACATTAAATTTCTGTGTAATCTTTTGCTCTCACGTGCAAGTCCAAAACTCATTAAATTTAGGACAGCTGTTTGAATACATGGGAAAATTGTTGTGTGTCTTAGTCTGTCTTAGAACACTGAGAGGGCTTTTTAATTAGTCCAAATGACTTCCTGGGGAAAGATGTCAATTTGCCATGCCTCCCCCACATGAAGTTGAGGCTTTATTCCTTTGCCAGGTCCCAGCAAAGCCCCTTGCCTGAGGACAGTGAGCCTTCTTCTTTTCTAGATGACAAGTTCCTTGGCGTCCAGCCAATGACAACAAGCAACAGACTGCAGGCATTTTCCTTATTGCCTCCTCAAGGTTGCATGCTATTGGGAAGCATTTATGAACTTTATAGCATTTTACTCTGCTCAGTGTTCCCACACACTAACCCAAGAAAATGGGAAGAAAATGAAGAGTTGGCATGAAAACAAGTGAACAGCGCCAAGCACATAAGCACTGAGGCCATGACAACTTGTTACTGGTTTGTTTTGCTGCTTCAGGCAAGTGCTGACTGTGTTGTTAACTTAGGATGACTCTAGATTGGTCATGAAAATTCTGATTCAAAGTTTGCCAGTTTTATAATATTTTATCAACAAGTGAAGTACAGAAGCTCTCCTATGTAATATTTGCCAATCACAGAGCTTGTGATCTTCTTCATGCCTAAATAATATGAGAATTAAGTTAGAAAATGAAGGAGAGAGGACAAGGAGATTTGGTGAGCAACTGTGAGTTGCATGGCATGCTCTCATAAGCTCATTCCTAGCCAGGAATCTACCTGTATAATTTCATGGCATGGTGCAAAGAGATCCAAGAAGGTCCTGCCACGCTTTAATTCATATGGAAGCTGTCTAGCTTCAGGTAGTGCAAACACTGAATCTGAGCAGAACTTTCCAAAAAAGTGAATTTTAACACACAGAAAAAGGCATTTCAGTTTTTACAAGGTTGCTCCAAAACTCAGAATGTAAAACAGGCAAAAGTTTCAAAGACCAAGAATAGCACATATTTCTGTTTCTCTGTTTTCTATTCGTTATTTTAAATTCATAACTGAGTTAAAGACAGATGACTGCTTCTGATCTGTGATGGGAAAAAATGGCTGCCTTCACTTCTTAATATGACACTAGGTATAACTAACATCGGTTAATAAATAATCGGCAGCTTTTGTGCTAGTTGAACAAGATACATGGGAGTGTCTGCTACAGTTATTTCTCAAACAATTTGTTTCTCTGCTGATCAAAGTCTTGCCATTCAAAACTTACTCCCCAAGTGTATTTGCCAACTTCCCTGACCAAAAGGAACTATAAAGGTGATAAATCAGATTCAGCTTTGAACTCCAGCCAAGCACAGTCTACCAATTATGTCAGGTTATGTTAAATTACCCTTGCTTCAGTTGTATGGGTTTATTGTGCTGAGACCATAAAGATATCTGAGTTGAAACTAAGCACTGCAACCAGTTTGAAAACTTGGGTCATGAATTTTGGAAAGAAAAAAAAAAATTTACTTCCAACATATTTGATCCAACAAACTATTTGCTTTTACAGAAACAAAGATGAGCTTAAGACACTAGTGAATATACATTAAATTGTCTTACGCATTTCATTTGAACAGACTTCCACCTGTTCTGTTTGTGAAGACTTTAAATCTAGATCATATTCTTCCCATTCATTAAATCCATGCAGGAAAAAGAGTCACACCAAGACAAACTTGCTTTTTTACTCTCTTCTAAGAGGATGAAAACATGAAGATTTTGGGCATACAGTTTTCCTGACAGAGTTTAATTATACATTTGATCTGGTGTGAAATTTATTATTTGGTGTCTGGTAGAACAAAATAATTTAGAGCAAAAATTATCTGATGCCGGATATCATGTAGAGGCCTTGTTTATAAATTTAGAAAAATCTGTTTTGCCTATACACCTATAAGCTTGAACTCTAGCCTGACAGCTACAGAAACAAGTTTCTAACTATTTAAATATGTGCTATTCTGAACAAGATGTTCAGAGCTAACCGTGATACTCTATTCACTGCTGTGTGCTCCTTGTATGAATTACTCATGAAAAACTGAGGTGATTTTGAACTTATGTGCACTATGTATAACTGCTCTTTGCCTCATCCTATCTTTGCCCATCTTAATCATGATTCTCCTTCAGTCTTCTGAAAGGAAAAGAGAATCCAGGACTATTGCCTTGTCTGCATAGTTGAGTATCTGAAAAAAAAATGATTCCTGACATGTTTTGAATAAAAGCATAAAGCCTTCTTGTATTCTACATCAGCTGGAAAAAGAACATAAATAAAGGAAGGGAAGAGAAAAGGTAGTGATAAAGCAGAAAAAAACAAGTTTCCAAATAGTCAAGCACAGTGTTGATGACATCAGGTTCCATAAGACTGGCTAAACAGGAATGGGAACATATTCCTTTGACAGCCTTCTAGTTCAGTACACCTGGACAGCTTGGGAACGTCCATGCTTTAATACACACTGAAAAAAGAATAATGACTTTGGTTGATTTTAAACACCACTGGGATATTATCGTTACTTCCTCCTTTCTTATTTCTTGTACTTTAGGAATGAAATCTCTCTCTCACTGAATTGAAGAGAAGTTCTGTCACGACCTCATGGACATGAAGATTTCAAAGGGCTTTATCAAGTTTTGCTTCTAACTGTTGGAAAGAGAATATTGCTATTTACAAGGGGACATTACCTGACAGTCTTTCAAAGCATTCTGTACTGAAGCCTGGTCTCCAATCTTCTGTTGCTGTTTCAGCTTCTTCTCTTGTGTTTCAAACCAAGTTTTTAGGCACTGCACATTATTTTCATATTCTGTCCAGGATTCTTCTAGACTTTCCAACAGCTGGATCTGCAAAGAAAAATGAGTAGACACTTTCTTATACAATTACCTTTATTATTGGGCCAATTAATTAAATCAGTGAAGATCAATGCTGACCAGAGTTTTCTTGGAATTCAATGCTTTCAGAATTTATAAACAGTGTATGCATTCATATTTAAATACATTTCCTATTTGTAGAAGAGCTCATAATAATAAACCTGCTTTATTCAGACAAAAAAATAGAGATAGCATAGTAAAATATTATGACACAGTGAAAGAAGCTAACATTTTAGCAGAATGCTTTTATGAACTGGAATTCTTTTCAAAAATCAAAGACCTCAGGATTTCCCATCTAAACATACCTTTCATATTCCTTGCTTTTAACTGTGGTAAAGCAGATGAAGATTGATACTACCTCTTTTGTCAACTGACTGCTTTAAAATTGCTGAGATTTTTCTTATTTTTTTCTAGTTGTTATTCAATAACAAATGAGACAGCACTTCTATTATTAAAAAAAAAAAAACAACAACTTACGAAAACAAACAAACAAACAAAACAGTGCAGAATTTGAAAGTAGTAGCATTGCTATAAAAAGCATTTATGTTACTTTAGACAAACTCCACTCTAGGGAATAAGTCATCTTGATTAGCTGTAATCTTAATTATAGCTGGTTGAGTGTGTGATGGTCAACAGCAAACTTGGCCACAGTGATGATGAGACAGTTGTGAGTGAAATAAGGAAAGCAAATAGCAGACTACAGATTCTTGAATAGCAAAATTTGGTTTATTCAGGTAAGTATGATCCCATGAGAAGCTGTACTGAAGAGCAAAGGAGTCCAAGAAACTGACTGATCTTCAAGGACAATTTCCTCAACCCACATAAATAACAAATCCACAGAAAGTGGATTACAAAGAATGGGCCTAAAAGCACAGCTTTGCCGTGCAGGGCTGATGTTAGAAAAGTAAAATCTTGGTTGGAACTAATGAGGGACAGGTGGCCTTTTTGTTACTCTTCACAAGTACATCAGCAACTAAGGGGAAGCCACAGAACAGTCTGAGGTACACAGTGCCTTCTTTTCTCTGATTTTACAGACACAATCTCCTCTCATGCTTTCCCAGGTCTTCAGACTAATTTACTAATTTTGGCATACAGAGGTACTAGTCATGGTAGAGGAGGAAATAATTAGGGGCTACTTAAGTAAGCTGGACATATAAAAGTCCACAGAACCAGACAGGATGTATCCAAGAGTGTTGATGTCATTTCAAGACTTATGTCTATTACCTTTAAAAGTTCATGAGGGCTGGAGGAACTTGTTGGTGACAGGAAAAAGGTTATATTGTACATCCTGCCAGAAGCCATTTCCAAATGCATAAAGAACAAGGAGGAGGAACAAGCATAGCCTTACCAAGGGCAAACTGTGCCTGACCTAACTGATTGCCTCTGCTAGAATGATATGACTGACACCATAGACCAGTGAAGAGAAGAAGCTGCTGTTTATCTTGACTTTTGCAGCACTTTTGATATAGTACTCCATAGGGTAGCAAAACTGAGGAGACAGGGGCTAGATGGGAGGTCTACAAATGAATGAACCAACCACCAACATCAGGCTTAAAGGTTAGCAGCAAACATTTCAACATCTATCTGGCAGTCATTTACAAGATATATCTTCAGGGTCAGTCATGAGGTTGTTATTGTTTAATACTTTCATTGATAAACTGAACAACATAATGGACTGTGCTTTCAGCAGATTCATTGGGCTGTTGGGGCAATAGCTTGAAGGTTCATTGTTGTGTTGGGCAATAAATTGAACATAATAAATCAGAAGTGTGCATTTGTGCTGATGAAGGCCAGCTGCATCCTAGGTTAGGTTATTTAGAGTGCACCCAGCAGGTCAAGAGAAGTGGCCCTTTCCTTCTCCTTGTCATTTGTGACCCACTTTGGGTTCTCCAGTGCAAAGAAGAGAGTGCCAAAGCGGTGAATGGCCATTCAGGTCATTAGAGGGCTGGAGCACATGACACGCAAGGAGAAGGTGGCTTCATTCAGCCTCAGGAAATGAAAACAAAGGAAGAATCTCATTGTGCTGTCCATTCCTTCTGGGGAGGTATGCAGAAGATGGATGTAGACTATTCTTGGAGATTGCAGTAAAAGGATAAGAGATAACCATCACAAGTTGCAACAAGGGAAATTCTGATTTGGAACAAGTCAAAAACTTGTTCCCCACAACAGTGATAAGCGCAGGAACAAGCTGCTGAGAGAGAATGTGGAATCTGTCCTTGGAGGTTTTCAAAACTCAGCTAAGCATGTCCCTGTGCAGTCTGATCTAACTGTAAAGTTAGCTGTTTGAGCAGGAGGTTGGACTAGATGGCCTTTAGAAGCTTCCAACAGTGATAAATGAATAGTTCTACGTATTTTGAAAGTTTTTTATAAAGTAGCTAGTTTTTTTTCTTTACCTTTTCTGTTATCAGGCCTTGCAGGATCTGCCAGCGTCTGTTCATTGCTCCAAGCTGTTCTGCAAAATCAGTTTTGTCACTACGCTTACTTTCAACATCCTGGCTGCTAATCTGTAGCACTGATTGGTTCACAAAATCTACTGTCAGTTGTTTGCAATTTAAATCTATCTTGAAGCCCTAGAAGAAAAGAATGGAATTAAAAGAAATCAAAACCTAAGTACTGTTATACCTCACCTTCTTGCAAAGCAGAAGAAAAATGTTCACAAACACTTACTACAAATCTTTACCACAATTTAGCTGGAAGGGTTTTTAGCAATTAACCAGAAATTAAAAACATTGTTGCTTTTTCCTAAATATTAAGAAATAAAGCAGAAATACTCTGCCTTTGGAATAAAGAATCTGGCTTCTCTCCCCTGTCTCCCTGCAAAATAAAAAACCCTCTATAAACATATTGATATTGGTCTCAAAGACCAGATTTAAGAAAAACTGGATATTTTTTTTTCCACTTTATTTAATATGATAATAATTTAATATTATTAAAATTTTTAATACACAAACAGATGAGATGGAAAATATTCTTACATACAAAGAAGAATAACAGCCAAGAAGTACAGTGATTTTACCTGGAAATTAAAGTAAGCATATTAAAAATTATATTCCTGTCATAATTACACATAGGAGTAAAAGCAATTTAGGTTTCTTTTCCACATTATTAAATATTACTCCATCCTAACTTGTGTTCAGTTCTAATTACTTCACAATGTAAGAGGGTTTTTTTCCTTAAATCACCTATACTTGACACATCTATATATGTTTAATAAGTATATTTCAAAAGGGAACTCAATAACATTTTCATTCAGTACCTTGTACTTCTGGACATAATCCTGAATGGCTTTCTGTCCTACTACATTTTTTATAGTCTCTTCATCCTGCTGTATGACATTTTCCATCAGGGAAATCCAGCTCATAACTTCAGTGATAGCATGACGAGACGGAATTTTGTCCATCTGGAGCTGTAGAGATAACAGAATGTACGTTGTGAAAAAAATGGCTAGGAACTCCTTGCTTTGCATTACCATAGTACATTGCCTTTACCTGCTCTCATCATCAGGTTATTCTACATCTCTAACATATCACTCAAGTTTATAAAAAGAAGTTAAAAAAAAAAATAATAGGAGAGGAGATATATTGTATAACTGCATACATCCTAATAAGAAAAATAGGCTTATTTCCATTCTTCATTGTACAATGAAACCAGAGAAACTCGATTCAGATTCAATTTCTGACTTCCTAAAGGTTCTGCATTTTCATTCTATAATTCTGTATTTGGCTTATGCAGAAGATCAACTTTAAGCTATATTTTTCCTGTTCCTTGTAAATGTCTTATGAATAGACCCATGGGAAATAATTTTATATTGCTCTGTGTGGTGATTTCTAAATGAGCTGATTTTGAATAGCACCTGTTTCTTTTCTTAAAAGACTCACTTTCAACATTTGATAGTGTGGTACTGGCTTGCATTTAGCTACTCAGAAACATATTCTATGACATTTTTAGGTAGACATAGATATTTTGTATCACAAGACAGTTCAGAAAACTACTGAATGACATTGTTTTGTTTAATATAATAGACTCAGTTAACATTTGTTACCATTCCTCTCTCCCCTTAAATCATGATGATATTACTAACTCTGAGAAATTCCAAATTATAAACTGAAGCAACAGCTTATACTGATAACCTCCTAGCAACTAAATACTAAAACAACTTTTAGAGAAGCATAATTTCTTAACTACAGTAACATAGCCTGAAAAAAAACAAACTACACAACCAAAACCCTTCTGTTCCTACACACACTAGCAGAACCCTTGCACAATGTTTTTAAATTTATTTTGTCTTGCACAGACTTGAACTCAGTCAATTTGAACACAACCACCTTCCAAACCTGACAGGGCATGGGGATGTGAACTCCCAGTTTCCAAAAAGCATATGAACATACTGAAAAACACCTTCTCTGTTATTTTGTTAAAACTTGACAAATGTAGCTGTGAAAGTCTGAAATTAACAGCAGCTGGTGTTAGCATGGATAGATGGGATCTTAGTGTAAGTGTAAGCTTTCCCACATTAAAAGAGGAGTAATGTTGTTACTATCTTGCCTCACATGGATAACCTGAGGAAGGAAGCAAGTATCTCTCAAAGGCAGCACCAACCATACATTCTGAATTTTCTGGAATACCAGAGGCCATTATTGGCCTTGCCTACCTGGTGCAATTTCTCTTGTACTGCTGGGATTTGTGTGAGCAGCTCTGTCCACTGACTGTCAATGCGGGACAATCCTGCACGCAGTGTTGCTGTATCCACCTTCTTCAGCCTGAGGAGCTGGTTCCCAGTACTCAGGACAGAAGATTTCTGTAATGATTTAGCATCCACCTCTTTCGAAAACTCCTGTAAGCGGAATAATTTTTGTGGAAATAATCAACTACTTATTTATTGTACTCAAAGCTTTACCTCAGAAAGCTAAAAATATCCTCCCTTCCTATTAAAAATACATACTCCCTATTGTTATTTGCCAGGTATACTTCAGACCAAATGAGAACAAAAATTGTCTTCAGTCATTAAACAATTTTCTGTTTTCAGAATCATCAAGCTTTACAATCATTGTATATAGCAAAGGATGTGCATACATACCAGTTTTTTGAAGAACAGCTCTCCTACAGATGCAGGTATGTTTTTTGCATACTCACTACTTCAATGATGAGAGAAAGTATAATCATTGTTCAACTGTTTATTTGTAAATGCAAAGAAAAAGGTGTCCTAGGTCTGTGAATGCCTTACCAAAAAGGAGTTCAAATGATCTCGGACTGTTTCCAGTTCTTGAGGAACTGTCAAAGACTGCTGGCTCCAAAACTCAAGTTGCTCCTTTGCAGATTGTAACCAATGTGTCAATTCATTTGATTCACTCTGGTACCTGTAAAGATGTTTAAAGAAAACCAAAACTGTCATCGTCACTTCTTGCTTCCAGCTGAACAGTCTCTCTTTCATGTGTTAGAGGAAGATACTGTATGCCAGATTTAAAAACAAAAGTACTTTTTTTCCTTTGTCAAATTTCAGAAAAACATGATTTAATTTTAAGGATAGACATGGTATCAGGAAGCTCTTATTTTAGCCATTGCACCTACAGTTGCCAACAGTGACTTCATTTTGCCTCTTAGGAAAAACTTAGTTTAATGAAGGACTAGTAACTGGGTTACAAATCTGTTAGGGCAATCTGTAACAGCACCCCAGCCCACACATGTAAACAGATTTTTGCTGTCCACTAAAAGGCTGAGTCTTCCGAAAGCTTTACCACGATGTATCTCAGAGCAGATTATTTTTTTTCAAAATCTACCTCCATGTCATTTCATGTGCCAAGCAACTAATGAGATGTCAGAGTAAGAGTGTCTCCACATAACCTTTATACGTATATCTCTCTTGAAAGACTATGGAACCAACAAGCCAGGCGTATTAAGACTAATAAACAAAGCTTGCATATCACTTCAGGAATTAAGTTCAAAAGTAGCATAGAAACATTGGTAAAGGCACCTGAAAGCTCCCTTCCATATATGTAATGACACAGACCCACAAAAGCCCAGCAGTGGCAATACCGCTGCCAGAACATGCTGATGCCACTCATGCTACCTTGCAAAGCACACACCTTTTCTCATCAACCTGTATGCGTATAGGGCTTCTAAATTAGTCATCTAAATAAGATACCTTCTGCCCTCCTTCCACCAGCTGTTACCTGTTACACATCTTATTGCAAATAAGAGAATATGCCAGCACTTCGATGGAACAGAAGAAAGTTATTGTAGAACAGTCAAACTATCACATACATGTACGAGTACTTTCTTTTAAATGTTGAACCTAGTAGTTCTGGGTTCAGAATGTCTTTGACCAGAATGGTGCAGGTGAAGATAATTATACTGTCCACTACACAAAGCTTACCTTGTCCAGTGCTTTAGTATTGTCTCCAGCCTGTGAAGCTCCTTAGTAACCTTGCTGCTGTTACTTAACCAGCGTTCTCCTAGTTGGTTCAGTTGACTTTCGAGATCTGAGCAGCTAACAGAAAAAAGGAGCCTTTTCCCATCATCTAGCACTTGGTATAATTTAGCTTGGTATTCAGTCAGGTTAGATCTCAGATGCTGTAATGACAGAGGAGATGGTTAGATAGCTCTGCAGGTCTCCGCTACCATACTTTCTCAACACTTATTCTTTTATTGCATTTTGTAACACATCCAATGTCACCATGGCACATCATATTTTTTCCCCTCCACTCCAGCTCTAGAACTCTCTGAGAACGTGAACCATCATGCAGGTAACCTGCTCAAAAGATGAATATCCTGTCACAAAATCTCTCACCTAAGTATGTCTACTAACACTTCCTTATGATGAAGTCCTCCTTGGTGTAGATATTTTACACTTGAACAATTTCAAAAGAACCTTAATGGGACAACACCATTTCTGAGAGAAGCTGATTAAAATGTCAGAACTTAGTCTACCATTTGCTGAAAACTCTACTGCAATGAAAGTTAAAGGTTCAAAATTCAAGTTTTTAACAGTGGACACTCCAGCCCTTCCAATGCTTATCTTCAGCTCTCTGGTCATCTAACCCTTTTTTTACTCATCTACCCTCCTGCTATCCATGGCTACAAAAGAGATCACCCCACCCATCTCAATCACTTAACAGAGAAGCTAACTGTTACAACAAAATAAAGCAAAAAAGGTATTGAAAAATTAAAGACTGTTAATATTGTTACTCTGAATACAACCTGAGTCAGAGACAGATTTCCTTTAAATGGTGACTTGTGGATGGATAAAGAATATATATATGTGGATAAATGTACCTGCTAACTTCCACTATCATTACACACATAGTGTGGATTTTAAAAACATCTGTATATTTGAGAAAGTTTGAGCACGAAATGTACATGCATTCCTATTTTTCAGTTCCACTGAAACTAATCTGATCTACAAATCTACCATTCTCATGGTGAGTACATAAACTTTCTATTGCTCTTCTCTTTTTCTTTCTCACATACAGCTCTAATAACTTCAGAGAATTTTATATGAAAATATATATGGGTGTCTGTGTGTATACTTACATATAACTTATATACACAAACAAATTTATAACTCCTGGATAGTAGCATAAAAAAACGCTAAGATTACCATAAAATAATGTCAGATTTTTAACCTTAGTGTTGTCACAGAGAGAGGGAAAAAAAAAAACACAAAAAAACCCCACCATCTACTAAAATTATGCCTTTGCAGAGTCTGAGAATCTGGACCTGAATAACCTAATTTATGCAACTCACAAGAGAAACAAAACAGGAAAAATCATTTAGGGTCAGGACAGACAGATACAATGCCTACCATTAAACAAAACTAAAACAAAATCCACACACAATAGATTGATTAAGTTCTCATACCATTGTAAAAGCAGAGAGCTGTTTACTAAAATAACAATACATATAACAAATGCAGAGTAGATGAGAAGTCAATTTGCAAGAAAAATTTAGCAGACATCTTTTCTGTCAAAACAAGGAAACAACAACAACAAAAAAAACCACCCCAACCAAAGTGTCTGGTGCATAATGAGACAAAGACAAAACATTACACCACAATGCTAATTTTAAGAAATGAAAAAAAAGAGTGTGGTAGAAAACCTGCATTTAAACTACTAGCTCTTGTTGCATTTGAGGAGGAAGGCAACTTGGGAAAAATCATGGAGCACATCCTCTTAGAATCCATTTTCAAGGACAGAGGACCAAACGGTCATCAGAAATTCTGCTGGGATTCACTAACTTGGCAACCTTTTAAGACAAAATTACTGTCTCTGTGGATGAGACTGGCTTTAGGACAGCCTTTGACACTGTCTCTCACAGGACCCTCCTCTGGAAGAAGAGAGAATGCAGGCTGGATAAGTGAACTGTTACAGGGTTTGAAAACTAGCTGCATGACCAGTCTCAAACGTAAGGGATCAAAGGCTTGATGTCTGCCTGGCAGACTGTGATGGACTGACTATTCCAGAGAATGTTGATACTTGCATCCAAACATCTTCACCATCTTCAGTAATAACATGGATGACGACAGAGAGCTCTCCCTCAGTAAATTTGTGGTTCACTACTAAATTAGGGAGAGTGGTTGAGACAAAACATGTCACATATAGTCCAGAGATACTTTGATAAGCTTGAGGATGGAGGCAGTAGAAACCTTAGAAGGCTCAAGAAGTGCAAATTCTGCACCTTGGGCAGGCTAACCCTGTTTCTCAGCACAGGCTAGGAAGGCAATGGCCTGTGTACTTTACCTAGCATGTTCCATAACCAATACATCAACAAGGCAAGGCACAGAATTGGCCTACCTAGGACTGTGAACAACTGAGTTGAGTTACTTTATTATTCTCATCTACATGGTGCTGATGAGGCCACATCTAGTGCATATGATTCTGCTCTGTCCCCACCTCCCACCTAGTTCAAGAAGAAGGAAGTAGTAAGAGTCTGGCATAGAGTTATTAAGATATTTAGGGACCTAGAGCACATGTCCTTTGAAAAGAGGCTGATGGAGGTGTGCTTATTTTAGAAAAATAGCACAAACAGGCATCTAAGGGTCAGTCCAACAAAGGTCTACAACTATTTGGAGTAGAATTAAAAAGATGATAGAGGTACGTGCTCCTCAGGAGTGCCATATGATATAAAAATGACAACAGTAACAAGCTGAAAGTTGAAGGTTTAGACTGAGCATTATAGAAAATCTTTACAATAGGAGGTGGTGCAGCACTGCAATTGGCCCCCAGCTTGGATGTGGGATCTCCATCATCTGAGTCTCCAAAATTTCCATTTTGTTTCTAAAGCCTTTACTGATTCAGCCCATGGTAACTGTCCTGCTTTGAGAGCAAGGTTGGACAAGATGACCTTCAGAGGCCTCTTTCATAAAATTCCTCCATAAAGAATGTCTGAAAAGTACCAACCTGAAAAAGTGTAATCCGGTCTGCAAGCCTGTCCTCTGTCTCTTCTACCAAACCAACAGTGGGAATGTTACCCTCAACAGACTCCAGCTGCCTGGTAAGTTCCTGGTAATCTTCATCCAGATGCATCCAGGTCTGCAAGCACAAATTATAATGTGGTGAATACTGTAATATGGTGAACATTTAATCTGAGTATCTAGGATTTTTATTACTTGTTTTCTTGATTTGAAATCCTGTAGATGCATGTTCATAAATGTATAGAAATAACAGTACAAATATCCAGGGAGCCTATAAGTCATGATCTCTGTGTCAAGCTCAACTTTTGGTTAGAACACAAGGATAAAGCTGTCATGATGTCTCTGTCAGCTAAAGCTAAGTAGCCTTTTTAAGTTTAGAGGGACACAACTTGTGTCACCTGAAGGTCACAAGTTAGACAGCAAAAATTACACATAGTCTATCCGTTCCTTGTGTGTATGGCAAAAGGGTCTGATGTCCATCAATTCTGTCCAAGCACAGGAAATAAACGTTATAGAATATCTTTGTGGTTTATCACTGTGGTGGTGCAGAAAAGACCACAGACATTCTCACCTCTAGAATGTATTCCAGCTCCACACCTCGTTTATGAGCCAGCTTTAATACAGCTGAAGCTTGTGTCATTAGCTCTGAATGCGACCGAGTTTCCTTCAAAAGGGCAAAGCTACTCATCTTTCTAAAGAGTGTTTCCGTCAGGATCATGTGAGACTCCAATCCCTGAAAATACTCCTGAGAAAATTTGAGTGTGAGAGGGTAAAGTGGGAACAGAAAAGAGAAAGTGCAATGGTTACTCAGTTCAATACCACTAAAGCAACAGTTTAAGACAAGAGCAGTACAATCAAGTATCTATAGACACAGAATAAGGTAAACTTTAAACTCCACCAACATATCACAAAATCCAACCCACAACTTAAAAAGGACAATGGCCTTTTTAAAGAAAGAAAGAGGTCATCCTTTCCAGGCAAACTCCTTCCCAACTCTCATTCCAATAATAACAGTAGCTTAAATCAGATATACACCACCAAAACAATCTGCCTAATAAAAAAAGTGTGTAAAAGTCTTGTTATATTTTGTGGATGCTGCTAGCAAAAGTAATTTTCTCTTGGAAAAAAAATGGAGTGGTGGATGAAATTGCTATGTAGGAAGACTGGACAAGAATAGGAACTTACAATAAGGAAGAAAATACAATCTACCTGGATTCATCTTCAACAGAGCATTTGAAAGTCACTCAGTCAGAACACTTAATCGATTCCAATTTAAAATACAGTAAGTTTTAATATATCCTACTTTTAACACTGGCCCACCATTCTGAAAAGCTCCTGTACCTTTACAAACAGAAGGTTAGCCGTTTGCTGTGTACAGGATGACAATCATGATTAATCTTGAAATCCACCACAGTTTCTTACCTTATGTTTGTCAAGTAGTGTTTGAACCTCTTCCTTAGAAGCCACAATCATTTTCTGGTCACCAGCCATCTTCTCCTGACCTGTTTCTACCAGGTCTGCCAGGTCCTGCAAAGCCCGTTCATACTGCCTCTTAAGAGCCAGATTCTGGTTCAGGTCACTCCGTCTGGATGCAACGATCATCATCAGCTCATCATACTTGTCCTTGGAGGAAAAGAGCAGCAATGGTATTTTGCACCTTATGCATGTCTTTGAGAAGCAATCTTGCTGTTCCTGTATTCCTCTGTGAATACTAGCAGAATAACATCTATTCCCAGCTCAAAAAGACTGTGCAGATATACGGACTTCATTGATAAATTAACAACTTGCCATTTAAAGAGAAAAAAGAAGCCAGACCTGCAAATTTTTCAAGTTTATGCATCTGGGAACAAAGCAGAATCCCAAAGGTTTGTATTAAGTAGCAAAGCAGGGTGATTTGGCTCTAAGTCATCAAACCAGAGATTACTGTGTGGCTACCGGACACTGCAGATGCTGTTTACATTTTGCTTATAACAGAGGGTTGGATGTACTCCATTATGGCTACAGACTACAGGCGTCTCAAAGTCAAATTTGTTTCCTTCTCCTTCTTCCTACCCCAGTAGCTTACTGGTAGCAAGCAAGATGCATACCACTTGTAGTATAAAAAAAAAAAAAAAAAAAAAGAACAGATGTAAAATAGCAATATATTTTATACAGAACACTAAAATATAGTGCAGTTTGTATTTCACAGTGTGCCCATACTGCCAAATTACAAGATGAGCCCAAAGGAAGAGTCTCAACAGTTCCCATGTGCTATTACTCATTTTGTATATCTCAGACAAAAAATTGAGAATAACCTACAGACAATTTTCTTCACCTACAGACGATTTTCTTCACCTGAACAGGATTACTTTCTCATTTTAGTTTCAAGAATTGTATTCTCAGAACATACGTCTGATTTTGAGGGCAAGCCCATTCTTTTGACCAAGACAAGACATCCAGAAACTAATGAACCAGTATCCCTATGACCAGCCTGTGCTACAGCAAAGTACCTCCTCTCAGACTGCAGCTGGCTTTCCTAGTTTTAAAGAGGAAAATGTGAGAAGCACAACTGTCAAAAAGGCAAAAGGATGGCTTCTCTAAAAACTGAAATCAAGAGGAGAGGAATATCTAAGTTTAATAATTTTATAAGTTTATGGTCCAGTGTCAGCTGTTTTCTTTGCTTCCAATTTATTACGTCATAAAGAGTAAATTTCAGTTCTAAACCTTCTCTTTGACATTTCCTTAAGCATTCCCCTGCCTCAGCACCAAAATGCTCACAAAGGAGTTTCAACAGCCTTATGCAAGTTCTGGATCAATTGTCCACATGTATCTACATTAGAGAGCCTTAAGATAGAGCCCTGCTACTTATGTGTGTTCAAAACCAAAACTAACTGGAAGTATGCAGGAATATGAGAGGTGTTCTAGTAAAAGCAGAACATTTACAGTGTCATGTCACACTTAAGTATCTTTTCCCTTTCACCCCTCTTCTCTCTCCTTTTTTTTTTTTAAATGACAGATGTGAGTGAGAACTAAACCCCACATTGTGAGACATCAGTGAGAACAGGGATCAACCTTCAGCATTTACATTCACAGGCTTAACTTTATTTGAACAAGGACTCAACAAGAGCTGAAAGGAAACAGTTTTGTTTGACTTTATGATTTGTGTTGCTAACAATAGAGATGTTAGAAAACTTGAAAATGCAAACGGAGAAAAACTAGATGAATCACAGAGAAAATAATCTTTTATACACACTGTGATGCTTAAGTACTCTTCCATAAAGTGCCTTATGAGCAATAAAAGGACCATACTAATACATTTGATATGACTAGACAGGCCTATGATGGAACTTACAAACCATACCTGGATCTTAGACAGCTCTTGCACAGAAGATTGGTCAATCTGTAGCTTGTCTACACGCTTCTTTAATTCATTGATTTCAGCATCTAGTTCCTTCAAACCTTCCTCTGCCTGCCGAATGACCTGTATTTGAAAATTACATCACTTAGCTATATGGTAATATTTTCTGTTTTCTGCTTGAAGTATTAAGTCCCTCAGTCTGCTGATTCAATGGAAGCTACAAGCTCTCCTTGGTCTTCCAGCCTAGGATTCTCCACTAAAACAGATTACAACTATAACAAAATTAAAAGCACAAGGTAGACTCCTGTAGTTGAAATCCTTTGTTAAGGTCCTTTCTTGAAAACTGCATTACAAATATGCTTAAACTATATGAGTAGCACTCCTGACTCTCAGTAATGCAGAGTATGCACAATACAGTCACTAAACTTAGACTTCATGCAAGCTAAGCTACCTAGCAGATTAAGGGCTTTATTTCTATTCCTCAGTCAGATTTTGAACAAAGAGCGACACCTTTAAATTTAAATTTTTATCAAGTCAGACAGGTATTCAGAAACAAATCAATTCAGTTGCTTTTGTAATCATCTTTTTTCCCCATTTGGTACTTAAATTAATCATACAGCAGGTAAATTTTGACCAAACTTTTGCATCACGGAAGAAAGAAAAGAAAGACAAGGAGTGCCAGCTCTCTTACTCCTACAGGAGACTTAAAATTCCTTCAGAATTTGATTATTGGTATATTAAGCCCAGTATATATGTTTAGCTGAAGGATAAGTTTCCTCCTTTCAGTCACCAGACATCAGTAGCTCTTGGGCAACAAAAAACATTTGTAGAAAGTAGACCTTAGCATACATCTTTTACTTTTCTCATTGACAAAACAGAAAAAAGGAAACAGGAAATATTTTGTTATATTGATAATTAATTATTCATCAGGTAATTCCTTATAAAGAAAAAAGGATTATTGCCTAAAATTAAAATAAATAACAGCCAAGATATTACTATAAACCACTGCAGAAGAAACTACCTTACATTTTTAATTAAATGTAATAGCCAAAGAATTTAGACTTTCTTGGGTTCTTGAAGTTTTCTTTCTTTCAAATACTGCCCAATGTATGGATAATTAGATCAGCTGGGGAGATAATAAAGACAGTTTGTGCTGTTTGTTTTCTTGTTTGCCTTTTTTTTAAATAAAAATGTGTAGTACACTCTTGGAAGCAATCATTTTCATATACTTTATGTGAACACGTATGCTCTCCAATAAAAGCAACTGTCCTCTAGAATACATTTACTTCAAATAGAAACTTTACCTCTTCCCCCCTCCCCAACTACTAGACATTTGGTAATACCTCCATTTGTTCTGTTTCTGGTCTCTCGACTGCCTCTGCTAGTTTCTGTAGAACTAAGTATTTGTTATCAGCCACTGATGTAAATAGGAGCTTCAGATCATTCTATAGGAGACAACAACAACAACAAATTATAGCAAATCACAGCACAAAACAACTGAAAAATATTTTATGTTCCAAAAAGTTTAGTGTGTTACAATGTTACAATGTCTGCCTTAAGATGTAAAGTCTATTCAAAATTTGAAACATCACAATTAGCCAATGCAAAATATTTAACATTGGCAAAAACCCGTTACTGGATATATATGAGCTAAAAACTAAACTCCTATTCAAAACAACCTGTGAACACACTTCTGCTTTTGCCGTCCAGTGAAAATTAACAAGGGTCATGAGCTTCATTTAACAAGAACATGGCATTCTTGTCTAGTTTATTCAACCACACACACTTGTAAACAAGATATCTTTAACTTTTTAAGGCAAGTTTTTTTCATTACAAACTTGAACAAATGTAACCTAGTAGTAAGCAAGGCTTCAAAACATTCTTGAGTTAACTGCACATGACACTTTTAGAGTACCTTATCAGACCAGAAATGTAAATATTACCTAAAATATTTGGTAAACTACAATCAAAAATTACTTTTTTCCACTTGCATTCATCACAAAAGAAAATTATCAACACATTTTTCCAAGACTTTCAGCATTAAATAAGAGGTGGATTACTGATTTATTTTTTTTTATGCAGTAATTCTTTTAAATACTAAATATCTCTGGTATAACAATAATGGATTCTAAAACCAGGATTCTAATCAACTTGTCTGCTTTCTTAGCAAAGGAAGGCCTTTCACTGAAAAATGTTTTTTTTTAATTTTTTTTTAAATTTTTTTTCTCCTATCTACTACAGAGGAAAGGTCATGGAATTTAGAAAGAAATCCTGCAGTAACAATCTATTAAATGACAGTCCTAATCTAAAGACACCAGGAAGCTATTTCCTATTTTTTTTTGTTGTTGTAATTTATGTTTTTTTCAGTAAAACTAAACCATACTCGTGGCTTTATATGATAATAATAGGAGAGAAGGTAAAGACCAAGTAAGATCTGAAAGCATTTCTGAACTCAATTTTAAAAATGCTTTAGTTTAGTTTAGAAATTCAGAAATTTTTAAACTTTAGTTTATAAATCTGAACTCAGATTTCTAGAAGTGCATATTTCATTATATCATTTTTTCTGCTTTGCTCAATACAGGGAGCTGGAGACACAAGCTCTTATGGAGTAATGGAATAGGTTAAAGATGATCAGAAAGGTAGGATTCAGTATTATGTTTTCTACCCTACATCTGCTGATAAAAGCGGTGATCACTTATAAAATTGTTAAATGTACAGAGTGAAACTCTAAAGTCACTTTTTCTCCTTTGAGACCAGGAGTCAACAATTTTCTTTTATGCAATGCCAGCAGGGTAAGAAAATATGGGATGAATGATCACAACAACTGCACAAGTTGCAGAAGGCCTCTATCAGACACTTCAAATTTCGGATCATGATTTGGGTGCCAAGTTTTGCATAGCTTAGGAAGAAGTCTGATTTTTCAGTAAAAACCTGTGACAACCTTGTTCTTTTGATATGTTACCAAAAATCCTCATTGCTTTGAGAATCACATCTTCTACATCCCCATTTGACATGTACCCGTGTTAATTCCTTCAGACGCGCATCATACCTTGAAAGTCACGATTTGCTGGAGCCGTCCTTTCATCTGTTGGCATCTCTGATTTACTACTGACTCCAGTAAGGTCAATCTTCTCAGGAGACAATCCAAAGTGTCATCTATAATATCCCTGTTATCACCATTCTCAGGAAACAGCTGAGCAAATAAATTCTTGTTCTTATCCATTTCTTCCGTTATGTCTTTGATTTCCTTGGCAAGAGACTGATTTTGTAGAAAACAAAACAAAGTGACAATCAGACATTCTTGAAAGCAGGCAAACATATTGCCATAATCATTGCCAATTTTGCAGTGACACAGTGACTTTTTTACATTGTTAATATACACACACTAGACAAAGTTATGCAGCTACGGTATCTCTGACAAAATGACCCCAGACTGCTCTGTGGAAAACAAATGCTGAAACAAAATGATATAGAATCGTAGAATGGTTTAGGTTGCAATATACCTTTAAATACCATCTAGTCCAAGCCCTCTGCAATGAGCAGGGACATCTTTAACTAGATCAGGTTGCTCAGAGCCCCGTTCAACCTGACCCTGAATGTTTCTGTAGATGAAGCATCTGCCATCTCGCTGGGCAACCTGTGCCAATGTTTCACCACCCTCACTGTACAAAAACTCCTCCTTATATCTAACCTGAATCTATCCTCCTTCAGTTTAAAACCATTACCCCTTGTCCTATTGCATCTCTCTCCCCCCAGTCCCCTCTCCCCTTTTCCTCCCCACCCATTTCATGTTGATCAATTTGTACTGTTTATATATCCCAAAGCATTCCACCCTCTCTTTCACTTTATTTCACTTTCAGCATTGTAATGTTTGCCAACACTTAGCAAAGATGTTAAACAGAAGAAAAGTTCTATAATTCTCTTCTGACTAGGCAAAATTTGGGTCAACTGCTGCTTTCTGCAATGTTCTCTACAGTCAATAACATTAATTCCACCAGTAGCAGAATACTGCAATTACACAGAGATTAGGAAAGCAACATGTCACTTATCCAGGGTTCTAATATTTTCTTTCTAAACACTACATAATATGGAACCCTATTGGCAATTTAAAGAAAGTCCTATTCACAGATTCTTTACCTCTTGCTTGCAGAGGTATGTTTCTGTTTCTTCCTCTGGCACCAGAGCCGTAGCAACAAAGACCTGTTCTTCCACACCATCCAGCCACAAGGAGGTGGCTGCGACACCATCATACAGCTTCTGTTCGAGATGCAGGCTCTCCTCCACTCGTCCAGCCTGAGGAAAAGAAATCAGAGAAGTCCACAGCAGAAAGACAAGATACTTCTTCTAACCTCTACAATTTGGGAAAGGGCTGGATTTCCAGGTGGGAGCTAGAGGAGTTTTCATTGTAAATGTGGTTCTGCTTGAGAAGAGGTATAAAGACAATGGAAATGCTACCTCAGGTGACGCATCCTTAAAGGCCTGGTTCAATTCAACCAACACTGGTGACACTGCAGATTTATCTTCATCCTGTCCTTCCTCCTTATACAAAGGTATTCCAGATATCAGTCTGTTTGGTCTGCTGTAAAGCTGCTGAGAGAGAAGTACTAATTAGGATGCTTCTACTATATATAGGGCACAAAATTCAGCTATACAGGTTCTACTGCTGACAGCGGGTATCAACAAATAATGCTCATGGACTTCCCATACTGTTCTGTGACATGAATATCTTGAATTAAAAATTTCTCAACATGACGTTCACTAGAAGTGTAGGAAAAATACTTGTGGCCAGAATTAGCAATGACTTGTTTTAACCAAAAACCCAATTAATTACTATTCAATGAATATAAAATATTTAAAACTGTGGAAGCCAAAATATATATATATATAAAGAATAGTGGGCCTAGGTCTATTAACAGTGAAATGGAGGATGTATGTTAATATAGGTCTTGGATTGTTGTCAGTTTAGTGGATTAATCATTGTCTCTTTCAGTAAAAAATTCTGTGGCTGAAATCACTTGTGTGTCACATACCCACTAAGATCAAGAATCGAATGTCACCAGTGTACTGGTCAATTCCAGAGGGATGATTAGTTACAGAATTATCCTGAGTTAGATAAGTAGATCAAAATTCTATCCAAGCCCTTTCTTCCTTTCTGGTTTATTCACCTGAATAGCAGTGCAGTTCAAATCACTTTGAAGAAGAGCAGTGCTAGTGCAAATATGTAATAGTTTTTAAAGATGTCACAAAAATAAATGGTTTCATATTCTTTGCATTAACTACTTCACCTTAAGGCATCTGTTATGCATGTACTGTATCTCATGTTGTGACAACTGGTTTTATAGAGGAAATGCAAAGAGAAATTAGAAATAGCTACCAGCTGTTCTTGTTCCAAAGCTTTCTGAAGCAGTCTCTGCTTGGTATTGAATTCCTGGTTCATGCTTTCCCATTTCACCTTCATCTGTCCTTCAGGTGATGGCTTCTCAGCTTCCAAGCCTAATTCCTCAGACAGCATATTGGGCTTCTCACTGAATGGGATGATATATAATGATTTAACAAGTACAAAACTAGTAAGGTTTAAGGTGTTTATTTCCTCTTTCAGTCAGGAAATTCTACATTTAAATTAAGTGCTGTTTTTTAAAGCTTTTCCTTGCCTTTTTTTTTTTTTCTCAGATAGTAAGACAAAGGATGGTTTGCAACAGCAAGAAATCCTTTCTTGATGGCATAAAATATACTTTCTAAGAAAGGGTTTAGAGTTGAAAGTGCTCATATTAATTAAAAAAAAAAAAACAAACGAACAGACTGAATATATTCTACACTGAAATGTAACCTTTAAACAAGCTTTACTTCAAAGAATGAAATAAAAAAAAAATTATCTGACTCCTAAATCACCTCATTTCTCAAAGTGACAGATACAATCTGATATTTTAATGCAGAACAAACATACGAGTGTACTTTAATAAACAGTGAATTAAGTTCATAATTTTCTGTTTGATTTTTTTTTCTTTCTATACTATAACTTCATGTGACAGAAGGAAGTTTCAAACAGAAGGAGATAAGTACTTTCTGCCATGATAATAAAAAGACCATACTGAATTAACACAAATGTCGAGGAAAAGAACTTATTGAGTACAACTTCTGCCTTCTCTAGGGCAAAAGTCTCTCCCTGTCAGAGCCAATGCTTTTAAAGACATCTACTTACTCTCCAAATGGACAAGTATGCAAGAAAATATAGATCAAAGATGAAATTCAAAATACACGTCTTCAAAAAGAAAAAGATTTACTAACTTCACAAAAAATAAAATTAAGCAGTGAGCATCTCATCTGGGAAGATCTGGTTACAATGGCAGACAACAATGTTTTAGAGATCAGCTATGATTCACATACCAATAAAGCCATAGCAACAGAGTCATTGCTCTTATAATGAATTTGGAGTTACTAATGATTTTGGAGTTACATCCAAAATTACTAGTTTGGAATCATACTAGTGTGATGCTTGATAATAAGAATTAAAGAAATTTCTAAATGCTGAAGGTCATCTATTAGCACAAAAGAGTTTGTATGACTATGTTATCAGAGCCCTAAAATACAAATCAGGATTCCAGTATCCCAGGTGCTGTATAATCATGATAATAGAAGAATTGGAGCATTATATGCAGAAGAGAGGTGTAAACATAAGGATGACACAGCACAGAGATAGAAATCTACTTTGCAGAAGAAAATGTGAAAGCACACCTTATACCCAAGCCTTCTGGGGCACTTTGCTGTGTTAGGATTTCTTCTCCACGGCATGCTACTGACCGAAGCAGATTCTTCTGCTCTTCTAGCTCTTGTTCCAGCTCCTAGCATAACAAGTTACAAAACCCAAAACAAACCTCAGACAGATTATTTTTGCCTTGGAGGTAAATATCTGCACTGCACAACTGTCTTGCAGAGATAGCTGTGCTATTTCTGATGTGGCTTGCTTGAACATTAAAAGCAGTGCAAAATCTCCACCTTGGGACACAGAAAATTTAGGTACATATTGAACTACTGAGTACATGTTGAACTAATTGACTAATGCAGTGCAGTTTCTGGAACCTAACCCAGTGGGGATGTCTGTATATCATGCGACACAATATACCTGGTAATGTATCACTGTTTCTTAAAGACAAAGTTGATTACTATTTTCAGCAAATATCATTAACTCCCTGGAGTAACTTTAAGGGCTGATTCTATTTAATTCTACTAATGGAAAGTGACAGTACAGGAGTAGTTGAGTTGATCAGGGTCACTCAGGAAGTTTAGTCTGCCTGGCTGTTACAGACATAAAATAATGAGCTCAGATGCATCATTATAAGAGCACTAAGAAACAGTGTAAAAAATTAAGATTTCAGTGGAAATATTAACGGGAATGGCTTAGCTACAGCATTAAGCATAGTGTAAAGGTGAATGTAAAAAATTGCAAACCACCAACTTTCTGTTGCTGCAGGGTGCTCTGCTGCTGCTGTGAGCGAGTGGTTCTTGCTTGTGCCAGCCATTCTTGGACACTGGGGCTCTGTGAAGAAACAAAGTCCAAATCGCTCTCCTCCTTTTCTTGTAATGATCCCTGCTTTATAAGAAAGAAATAAAGATTATACAAAATCTCATATATTGCTAGAGGCCTGGCAGGTCCAGCTCATCAACTCAAAACCACATGTAGTGCCTCCTCTCAAGCTGCTGGCTCACACAAATTCTGAAGCAAGCAGTGACTTCTATTCGTCATTGGTTATTAACAAGAAAACAACTCTAAAAATGTAAAAATAAACACACACCGCTGCACTTAGCAGAATCAGACACCTGAGATCAGAGACTGTGGACTGATGTGTTTCTGAAGACTGTTCTGCTTCTAAAAATACCATCAGTGATCTGAAATAGAGGGTGCAGTTTTAACTGGCAATGCAGGAAATCAATGGGTTGTTTCTGCCAGGTTTGTATTCTAATTAAAACTATTTTTTCTCTAATTAAAAGTGAGAGAATGCCAGTTGTCATTCTGGTCAATTTATCAATAAGTATAACTCTATCCATGGTTGTCAGAAACACAGTCAGTTAACAACAGATTATAAGATATGAACAGTAAAAAAAAAAGAGACCAAACCTCAGAATGCTATAATAGAACAGCAAATGACTTCTATCAGTATGTTTTTCCCACGTGAGTGATTAGACAGGCTTTCTGTGTAAGCAAAGGAAAAAAGAGCCAATGCCTTAGCAGTTCCAAAAACTGCTTTAACAATGTCTTGACTTCTGAAATCCGAGGTGACTGTAAATTTAAGTTATTTTAGCAGGCAACGTATTCAAATGTAGGGATTTGAACGTAATAAGTCTAATGTTAAAGACAGACTTGTAGGTCTGCCTACTACACACCTCTGGATTTACTTAATATTACTTGCAAGCACATGATGACTGTACAGTTTGCCTTTTTTTTTTTTTTTTTTTTTTTTAAAAGAGCTTCAAGAGCTAAAGCTATGGCTTAATTCCTCTCCCATTTTGTCTCTATTCATAGAATCATAGAATCCTTTAGGTTGGAAGGGACCTCTAAGATCATCAAGTCCAACCACCGAGCCACCAGGGCTCCAAAGTCCTCTGCTAAAACAGATCAGAATCTGTCAGGGTTGGAAGGGACCACAAGGATCACCCAGTTCCAACCCCTCTGCCATGAGCAGGGACACCTCCCACTAGATCAGGCTGCCCAGAGCCTCATCCAGCCTGGCCTTAAAGACCCCCAGGGATGGGGCCTCAACCACCTCCCTGGGCAACCCATTCCAGGGTCTCACCACTCTCATGGTGAAGAACTTCTTCCTCACATCCAGCCTGAATCTGCCCACTTCCAGCTTTGCCCCATTCCCTTTAGTTCTGTTGTTACTCGACATCCTAAAAAGTCCCTCTCCAGCTTTCTTGTAGGCCCCCCTAAGATACTGAAAGAGACCACAATAAGGTCACCTCGGAGGCTTCTCCTCTCCAGACTGAACAGCCCCAACTCTCTCAGTCTGTCCTCACAGGAGAGCTGCTCCAGCCCTCGGATCATTCTCGTGGCCCTTCTCTGGACACGCTCCAGCAGGTTCACTTCCCTCTTGTACTGGGGGCTCCAGAACTGGATGCAGTACTCCAGGTGGGGTCTCTTTTCCATTTTTTTGGGATTCATATTTTGCTCATGATTCAGTGCTTATTTTAATAAAGAGCAACAAATGATTCAGGCATTACAGCAGGCTCTCCAAAACAAAAGCACCTTGCACCTTCCACAGAGCCTTTGTCTCAAATTGGGCAGGAACTAGCAGAGCCAAAGGTGGCTGAGGAAACCCTTCTTGCCTCACCTGGTGGTCCTTATACTAGCAATTGGGATGGACCTCTGCCACCAGTGTCCCTAGCACTAAGCACTGAAACAGCAGTTTTGTTAAACAGTAGAAGTTAGGTGTAAGATTCCAGTTTTGGAGGAAGATTGAATATACTGGAATTGAAACAACTGGTTAGTGTTAGAGGATATAAAATGTAAGAAGAGCACAACAAGCAAGCAGGTATCTAGAGGTGGAAAGAACCATTAGCCCTTGCTGTATGACATTGCTTTGTTTCACTGAGGATTCAGTTCGCAGGCAAACTGTTATACTTTGTACCAAGTTTCTAGAAAAAACTGACATGGTTGAAGTGTGAACAGTGTCATTATACGATATCAGATTAGGCAAAGAAAATATTATGTGAGGGAAAAGAGGGTATAAAATGTTGTTGGTTTTTTTTCTTTTAAAAATAAGAAAAAAACAATTTTGTGTGAACTGTAAAAAAAACCAACCAACCAACCAACCAACCAAAAAACCCCAAACCAAAACCACTGCCTCAATTTATATGCTCCAGGTACAATAGTTGTTCAACTTGTAACTTCCTTTAGACAATGGTATCATTGCATTTGGGCAGACTGATTGATTTTGAGTCTTCTCTGGGAAGAGGGTTAAGAATTTTGGAGTTAGAAAAATAAATAGTAGTCTCACAGTTCCTGCAATAGCAGAGTGTAAAAGGGATTTTGGCATTTTTGGATGCAATGAGGTTTTGCAAATATGGCATCATGTATACTTTTTAGATCAAAATTATTTGTGACGCAGATTTTACCACTCTCAAACCTCAGAATATAAGTTTGAAAAAATACACTTGCATTTTCATTTGAATTCTATCTGAAGGAATTGTATTAGGTTTACTTTAAATAGCCAGGGAAATAAATGCTTGAAGCTGCTGGTCTTAGGGACTACCCAGTCCTGCACAAAAACAATTGGAAAATCCATGAAGAAAATAGTGGTAAAATTGATCTTTCAGTGAGTTCAGCATTGTACAAACTTGTATCAGCCACAATTTTCTTGTGGAACTGATGTCCCTCCCACACACAGAGGGATAAAAAATAACAAAACACTGGGTTTTTTACTGCAAATTACATTCTACCTCTTTGACAATTTATTTTTATTGATTCTAAGTGACAGAATTTAGTATATAACAGTAATAAGACAATGTTTTGTACATCGTCCAAAGTGCTTGAAAAAGTCAAATTTGAATCAATGTACTCTGAAACTGTCTTGATCCAGCAGGTTTCTGATTAGTGCTTTATTTAATGAATAAAGGATTTAGTCTCCAAATTACTTTTTCCATATCATTAGTGACACTAATTAATTAAAATTAGAAGGAAACCTCAAGTTGCTGTGAGAAAATCACAGAACCTCACTGGCTTCTAAAACCTATTGTGCCACAGGACTAACAGATATAATGAAATATTGCTTTAAAGGACAATATAGCTAAGTTTTCACAATGCTCTTGATCTTACTGCAGCTTGGATGGGTACTTCTTTTCCTGGGTGCAGGCCACTCTACTCCTCTAAGCCATTACAAAGTTAACAATACGTCTAGTGATATAAGTCTGAGTTTCTTGCATGTATGAGCAACAATGCTGTTAGCATATAATGTTTCTCCGGGTTAATAATAGCAGTGGAAAAGAATTAGTGCATTTCTGGGCTGCTGATGCTTGGAGCCTCAGTCCATAAGAAATATTTTATGCCCAATTGTTTGGAAAAGACATTATAGAATTCCTCATTTGAAAAAAAAAAAAAATGCCCAGTGAAAATTTGAAGATGTTATAATGCCTATATCTGCTTTTTCCACTATCTATAAATAAGTCCAAAAAAGGCTTGCAATTCCTAAATAAACTTGTCTTGAACATCGGTAGCATCTTAAATGTTTCATACTCTACATCTAGAAATCATTTGTTATTTTTTATATTAGAAAAGCATCCAAAACTGTATTTTAAAAGTTTAAGTAAATTACACCATTGTATTTTTAATGCAGTATTTAAAATACAGTATGTATATTTTAAAATTAATCAAACAAATCTGTGATGCCTTTTTACTTCACAAGTAATACATCAGAAAATAGTATTATATGCCTAGACAATAACACTTCTCATTTGCCTAATCATGAGGTTTAATATGCAAGAAAAATGTTCAGATTACTTCAAGTTAGAGGTAATAGGAATAAATACCTGGGGTTTTTAGTTCCTTTTTGTGTGTGTGTTTGTTAGTTTGAGTTTGGTTTTCTGGGGGATTTTTTTAAAGCATGTTATGTTTTATAGTTATCCAGTTGCTTTGGACTAAAAATAGTTCTTAGCACATCAAGTGACTTCTCAAGCTAACCTCTCAGTAGACTTTAATCTGCATTACAAGCTAGAAATCTTTGAAGCTTATCATGTTTAGTTTGCACAGCAAAGCCCAGAAAAGAAGTAAAAGAAAAAGAGGGAGAGAGTCACAGCAGGGCAAGCAAATTCAAAACCAGTCAGTCACATTACATAGTTGGGTTTCTTGTGTGTATTCATCTCTCCATGTGCTAGTTTAACCTAAAGAATGACCAAAAATACCTGTTAAATAAAAGGAACTGGTTGCAATAACAGACAAATGCTACTAGGACCAGAACAAGACTGAGGATAAATGTAACTTTGTTTATATAATATTTTCTGTGGTGTAATGATGTCTCCAAGTATTACTCACTTTTACAAATGTTTCGTTATCATGATGTTATCTGCTCATTGCATTGTGCATGCTGTGTGGAGGGAAGCACGTATTTAGGATTGGTCTTTTGTTGGTGGAGGGATCCTGCTGCAAAGCACATGCAGTCTAAAGGGTCTTGGAACAGGAACAGACTATATGCAGACCAAGCTAACAATCTATCTACTTTATTATTGCCCTTTCAGTGAAAATAGTGAGGTTAGGATAGTTTCACCATGAAGTGGTGCTGTTAACTTGAATATGATAAGCTAAAGCTTGCTAGCCAGTTCTTTATTTTGGAGTGTAATTCTATTTACTAACTCAAGATGAATAGCCCAAACTAAACCAGTAAAATACTTTTATTCCTTTTCTCAGTTGCATAAAACTGCTGTGAAATTCACTGATCTCCTGCCCATCATGAAGCCAGTTAGAAAGAGCCACTTACCCGAATGTTGATCTGTTTGTCGTGGAGCACCCTCTGCAGCTCCAGAAGGCTGCCCTTCAGCGTCCTGAGCTTCACAGCCAGCTGTTCTGCCTCGTCCTTGGTGTGAGCCTTCCCTTCCATAAGCAAGTTCTCGTTGTGCACAGACAACTCTGACAAGGCTACCACCTTCTGCTCTATTTCAACCAGCATGTTCTGCAGCAGCAAGAACAAAGAACCAAATTCATACATTTTCCAGCATCTGTCACGTTTTCTGGCAAGACGACCTGTGGCCTACCTCACCCGTCACCAAACTAAGGGCAAATCAGATTATCACTGCTTTGCCTTCCAGTCCCTTTCAGAGTCCTTAGGAATATGCTTGCAAATGTCTGCATTTGCCATTTCTGTCTGCAACCTTTCTCAAAACAGGAAATTAAAAAGTTATTTGAAAAAAAGGATTTGTTGCAGAGGAGATGCTCTTTATTTGCACATTAATTATAAGAGTGGCTAAGATGCTAGACTGACACCCATAATGAAAAGAAGCAGAGCATGCAGCTAGAGTTACTTCTTTCCTCTTCTTTCGGGTACACTTAGTGGAATGCTTCCTACCTCCTCCTATGTGTTGCTCTGGCTGCCGTTGATAAGCTTGTCCTCTCACTATTTGCTCTTTCTGATTGGTGCATGATGGACTTAAGGATTTCTGTATAATCCTCTTTAGTCTAAAGAGAGACTTAAAGTGGCAAATCTCTGGCATGTTTATTCTCAAAAGCTACTTTCCTGACATTCCATTAACCATTCATGTCTTGCAGACATACTGCATATTTTAATTTTCAAAACTCATAGCTCACGCAATTCTTGCTCAAAAACCTAGTCTGACATCAAATGGTTTTGTTTCCATAGCAGTCATGAGGTATAAACTTGCAATACTTCTGAAGGAATATGTGCAGGATAAGATAGTCTCTAAATAAAGTGGAAAAAATACAGGACTTTATATAACACCTACGGTATCATGATTTTAAGAATCAGCAAAAGAACAGCAGTATTCACTTTTCCATAATGTTTACTGTTCTTTTTGAGTTTCCTACAGATTATAATTAAAAAATACTGCTTTGTATAAGTTTGCAGGTTTATCTATATACAACAAACAGCTCTCAAGGATGAATGATGAAAGAACACTTGCAACTGAGCAGGCTGAAAAAGAAGTAATGTCAGTGGAAATTTAACTAGATGTTTAATTTTATCAGACTTACATGAAACTTAACTTGTACTTACCCTAAAATACCAAGATCCTCATCCTTTAGTATGGAAAAGGATCTTTTGCCCATCTGTCTCTTGTCTAACTTGTAAATTTAATTGTAAGTTCTAAACTCTCATCTAAAAATTGAAATCTCCCACTAATTGGAGAACTTGGATGTTATGATTGATCCAAGTCTTGTTAATGAAAGTGTATGCAATTACTCCTATTGCAGCAAAATGTTTTCCTCAGTTGTTTTGGTATTCTGGGTTGATTAATATTACACTCATAAAAGTAGTAACTACTGATGATTATACTTTACATTTGAACGTGGGCAAGGTTTACTCCTGAACACAACACTATTCCAGTCACCACGGGGAGTGCTGGAAAAGAAGGAGTAGGAAAGCATACTACAGGTGTTTTAATACCTACCAAGTGAGCTGTTCAACAACTCTAGCTTTAGCAGAACAAAAACCAGTAAGTGAAGCAAATACAAAGCCTTCAAAGCACAACAAAATGCCCTCCAAAAATTGTACAGCTTCAAATGGTCTCGCGGTCAGGATACCTCATTTTCCTGCTGCTATGTTTAAATGTGCGCTCTAAAGCACTGTTTGCACCCTTTAAGAAGAAACAAAACCAGGCCATATTTTATCTTACAAATCACTGGTGAAGCTACCTGAGCATATATGAGATGCTAAAGAACTCAAAAACTTCTTCCCTACTAATATGCTGGCTCACCCCACTCAATAATGGGCTTAACATTAATGCTCCATATTTGTCTCTTCATTCAGATAAAGATATGTCCATTCTGTTCATCTAAACATTACAGGACTGGTAATTTTACCTGACAGTCCACCAGCTGTGCTTCCATGTCCATAGGTTCCTCAGTAGTAACCAGAGCAGTGTCCAGTGTTGCTCGGGTACTCAGTAGCCAGTGGTCAAGCTCATCAGCTTCACAACGGTACCTTTGAAGAGCTTGCTCTTGCCGCTGTTCTTCCAGCTGCTCATTCAGTTTTTCCTAGAAGTACAAATTATATATATATTTTTTTTTTAAAAGAAAGAGACTACAATAGTCACCTTTTAAAAAATTTCCCTCTCTGTCTTTCCTAACTTCTGTATAGTATTTTTAAACCATAATAAGCCCTTTCCTTCAGAACATGGAAAACTTTGCAAAAATATTATTGCTTTCTGTTGATGTGCATCCTTTGCTCGTGACTGAAAACCTGTTTCAGTTCAGTCACTGTATTTCTACTTCCTTCAGAAGATTTGCTCAACCTGCACAGCACTGTTTGCTTAGGGAGAAAGATGCATGGGGATGGAGAGCTGGGAGTGGGCTGCAGGGAAATGAGACCAGTTTGGGGTTTTTCATTCTTTTTTTTTTTTTGGTGTGGTTTGTTTTGGATTTTTGTTTGGGGTTTTGTTTGTTTGTTTGTTTTGTTTTGTTTTGTTTTGGCAGCAGCAGGCTATTAGATAGCCTGATTGTCTCTCAAGAGAGGCACAAGAAGCATACTTCAAGGACCAGAGTAGTAGTGGGCCTTTGGTGTAGGCACTGTAGGCAAAGAGAAGACTGAAGAACTGTCTATGCTGTCCAGCCTCTTGAAGGATCCCTGTTGCCATGGGATATGGAAGGACATGAAGCTCCAAAGGTTGCTGCAGCAACTGCAAGGGGGCAACAGAGACTCCCTGCCTCCATCTGTCAGCTGGTCCATCCGTTGGAAAGATGAGGAGTGATCGGGAAGACTTGTGTAGTCCCATATATATTTGAAAACTGGCTGAATAGCTGGGCCCAGAGGATAATGATCAGCGGCACAAAGTCTAGTGAGGGGCCAGTAACAAGCCTCAGCAAGTTTACTGATAACACAAAATAGTAGGAGTAGCTGATAGAACAGAGGGTTGTGCTGCCATCCAGATGGACCCTGACAGGCTGAAGATCTAGGCTGATAGGAACCCTCATGAAGTTGAACAACAGGAAGTGCTAAGTCCTGCACTTGGGGAAGAACAACCTCAGGCACCAGTATATGCTGGAGGCTGACCAGCTGGAAAGCAGCTTGGCAGAAAAGGACCTGGGGGTCCTGGTGGACATTAAGTTGACCATGAGTCAGCAACAGGAGCCTGTGGCAAAGAAGTTTAGTGGTATCCCAGGCTGCATTAAGAGGAACGTTGCAGCAGGTTGAGGGAGGTTATCCTCCACCTCTACTTAACACTGGTGAGCCACACCTGGAGTACTGTGTCCAGTTCTGGGATCCCCAGTTCAAGAGAGATAGAGAGCTCTGGAGAGAGTAGAAGGGGTGTTTTGGGAGTAAGAAACAGATGCAATGGAATGGTCAGAGGGTACTTAGATGTATCAGATATTGTGGAACCTAAGAATGCTGCATATGATGTGGAACAAGGGGAGAAATTTGTACTAGATCTGGCTGGGATGGAGTTAACTTCATCACAGCCTGTAGGGTGCTGTGCTTTGCAGCTGTGGCTAAAACTGTGCTGATAACACAGCAATGTTTTGGCTATTGCTGAACAATGTTTGCACAGCACTAAGGCTTTCTTCCCAACTGCCTCTTGCGAAAGCCAGCAGGCTAGGGGATGGGCAAAAGGCTGGGAGAGGACACAGGCAGGACAGCTATCCCAACTGACCAGAGGGATATTCTATACAGTACGAGATCATGCTCAGCAGTAAAAGCTCAGAGGAAGGAGGCAGGGGCTGGTGGGGGGGCAGGGAAGCATTTGTGGTTATGGTGTTTGCCTTCCCAAGCAACTGTTACATGTGCCGAGACCCTGCTTTCCAGGAAAGTGGACAAACATCTTCCTCCTGATGGGACGGCAATGAATAAGTTACTCACTGTCTTTTGCTTGCACGCACAGCTTTTCCTTACCCTATTAAGCTGTTACTATCTCAATACATGAGTCTTTTTGCCTGTCCTTTATTTTCTCCCCATCCCAAGGGAGAGTGGGGAAGAGTGGGTGTTTGGCTGCTGACCAGGGTCAACCCACCACAATTCTGTAAGGAAAGTCAGACCTGTATGTGCAGTGCAAATCTCTCACACAGGTAAGTGTTTGTACAGCTTTTCAGAATGCTTCATTTTAATGGGAAAATTAATAATTTCATGTTAGAATAATTTAAAGAATAATTATAGTTGTTAAGAGTCCTAAATAATCCAGAGCTGAACAGTTCCTAAGGTCTAGTGACTTAAATTAGGTCCACAGAAAGAACAATATTACCAATCCACATCCTGTTCTAGTTGTATTTCTACATTTGCATTCCTG